TTATCATTAATATTATTTAAATATTTTTTTTTTTCTGGTTCTTGTAAATTTATTCTTTTTTAAATATTTTATGACAAGATTTTCCAATGGGGGGGGGGGAGGAAAAAAAAAAAAACCTAAATAAAAACCTCACCAATACCAAAAACCTTACTTCCTTATTTGGATCCTAGTTGGAGCAGTACTAGATTGCTGTCTTAACTTGGGGAGAACTAACATTTTTGTGATGGCTTTGTATTTAAGGACATACTATCTCTATTTCATATTTTTAGTAACATTCTGTGGTAGTCCGGTCTAGGAAAGCTATTCCCAGGAATCTGTGGCTTAGAACTGACATACTACTGTTCACTGTGACCAATGCAAAAGAAAGGTGTCCAGCAGCCAGGGACTGGTTAAATAAATAGTGGCATAGCCTACAAAATAGCAGGCAGCAATTAAGAAAAGTGAGTTTTCTCTTCGAACAGTTGATTAGGACAGATTCCCCAAGGTAATGTGGAGAGAAGGGTCTGTCACATGGTCGTAACTTGGGAAATGAGTATTCTTCCCTCTTCCTCATGTGTATTACTGTGGAGGAAAACAACACAAGTCATTATAAAAATGACAGAGGATGGCTATAGTTCTGTGGTAGAGCACAGAACACTCGTTTGGCTTGTGCAAGGCCCTGGGTTTGACACCCACCACCACAAAAGAAAAATGAGAGAGGTGGAGGCAGGGAAGGCCACAGAAGATAGCAGGGAGGAAGGAGAAATGGCCTAGTAAGAAGAAAGTCTGCACTAAACAAACTAAAACCACTAAAGTGTGCATCAAATGACATGTATGCATTGAAAGGCACATGCCTCCATACCTAAAAACCATAGGTCAGCTTTCATTTGTAAGGTTACTTACTGTTAGATCACACTGCATGCAATTATAGACAAACCAAAATAGAAACAAGAAAGTGACCTCAGAGTCAGAAAGCACCTCAGCCTGAAGTAGTGCCCCTACCTCTCTCCAGCTGTTCTGACACTCACCTCCCAGATTGCCTCAAAGACAACCACAGCACATCGTCTATCTCAGCTGTGGAGCACTTCATAGTGACCTTACCCTAGGAAGACGCCACACCAGCATTTTATCTCCTTCCACACAAGATTTTTCTAAACTTTTAGGAAATTTCTGCCATAGAACATTAGGCTGGAAGCCAAGTTACCCTCTGGGTGAACCAGAAATTAACCTTGCCACTGCAAAATATACAGCATAAACCATTCCTGAGAGCAGTGAGATAAGGGAAGGCAAAGCTCAGCTCCAGTCTGGGAGAGAAGGGCCATTCTAGCAGCTACAATGTTTCAGAGTAACCTAAGATTGTTTTCCAACTCTGAACTACTTTTAGACAGTCTAAATGATTATTGTTAAAATAACAAATATTGAGGGGGCTAGAGAGATGGCTCAGTAGTTAAGAGGATTGGATGCTCTTACAGAGAACCCAGTTCCCTCCACTCACATGGTGCTAACATCCATCCATAACTCCAGTTCCAGGGGATCTGGCTCTTTCTTCTGGATTCTGTGGGCATTGTACATATGGGTACACTTACACAGATGCAGGCAAAACACCCATACACATCAAATAAAAATAAACCAATCAGGAAATTTAAAATAATAAAGACTGAACTCATTTCAGGCAAATCTGGTCTTGGTGGAGAGGTAACAATGAAGAGGAGGTGACTGACATCCCTGAAATGCTTCTCAGTGTCCCAGCAGCCAGAGTGCCCAGGATACTCCTTGACCTATAGTCCAACCAAACATGAATTCTCTTTGCCTTCCAAAGAATTTTCACAAGATTACGTTCTCTAGTTGTCCTGGGTATCTGTGGGGGGATAGGTTCTAGAATACTCCACCCCATGCCAAAATCTGGTATCAGGCCCTTTTGCAAAAAGATGGTGTTTGTGTGAAGCCTAGGCCATCTCTCATGTGCTTTGACCCATCTCTAGATGATTTATGATGCCTAACACTACAGATGCTATAGAAATAGGAAAGCAATAACAAGAAAAAGGCCTGTACATGTTCTATAAAGACAAGATTTTGTATGTGCATATGTGCATCTGTGTATGCATGGGCATACATGTTTGCACATACATAAAGGTTAGTGGTCAATCTCACTCAGGTGTCAACCCTCAGAAGCCATACCCTTAGTTTTTGACACAGGGTCTCTTCTTGGGACCTAAGACTTGCCATTTGGCCAGGCTGACTAGCCAGTAAGCCCAGAGATCCCGTCTCTACCTCTCTAGTGCTGGGATTGAAAGCACACGCCACTGTGCATAGCTTTTTACATGAGTGCTGCAGCTTGATCTCGGGTCCTTATGTTTGTACAGCAAGCACTTTACTGACTGAACCATCTCCCCAGTCCCTTGATACAAGTTTTTAAATTTTATTTTTTGAGACATGACAGCAATTCACTCTGCAGCCATGACAGCTACAGCAGCTTTGTGAAAGTCACAGCTTACCTTCCTTCCATGTTTAGGATGCACACCAGCTCATCCTCAAAAAATATCTCTGGTCCCTCAAGGTTTTCAATGTCACTGAAGCCATTACAAGGAACCTGCAGAGAAGACACGCGAGCAGGTCTCAGTTGTGAATATAAGTGGCTACCACTCCCAGACACAAAGTTGAGCACAAACAAGAATGCACATCCTTATTTGATGTCCACATGTGTGACAGTAACAGCTCTTTCATAAGGTCTCCAACCACCTGCCAGGGCTAGAAAGTAAAATGCAAAGTAACAAGCATGTGTTCAGACCTCATTGTTACTTGTAAGTCATGTCCACACAATGGAATTCCTGAAATGATAATTCAGAATTCTAATGTGAAGACAAACATTCTGAAACAATGACTTCAACTACAAAACCTCCCAACTTCCAATTACTATTTCCTGAAGTCCATGTTGTACACAACTAGGAGAGGAAGAACACAGGCATAAGCCCAGTCTGGGAGGTGCTCCTGTGGCCTGCTGGGTGTGTTTATCCCCTGAAAGTGGAGGCAGTAATGCGTGCTGAGGTGGTGGTGCAACATGTGCTAAGGCAGTACAATGCATGTTGTAGTGGTACATGGTGTGCTGAAGTGCTATTAAAGGCACGAGACAAGTCTGGCTTTCTATGTAGATGCTGGGATCCAAACTCAGGTCTCCATGCTTGTACGACAAGCAGTTTACCCACTGAGCCATCTCTCTAGTCCCTATAAGGAACTCTTAAGAGAAAAAGAATGCAGTAGGAAGCTGGTCTTGTATAAGCAAGTATGAGAGGTGGTGACTGTGTGCTGAGGTATGAGGCACTCTCAGGTTAAGTCTGAAGACAAAAGACTTTCCTCAGTTTTCTTTCTGAAAGTAGCCACAGTGTTTCCGGTTAACCTGTGAGCATGCTGAGAACACAGGAACACCAGATCCTGAGCCAAAGCAACCGCCCACCTATTGATCAACCCTAAGTCTGCCCTGCTATGCTCAAAATCCTTGACACATTTCTAATTAAGTACTTAAAGGTATAGAGAAAGAGGAGGGAAAAAAGCTCACCAACCCACCATTATTAGATAAAGGCACAAACTGTTAAAAGCACACACAAACCCAGCTGGGCTAGCAGCAGAGGTTGCAAACTAGTAGCCCAAGACTAACTGCATCAAACATGTACTGCTCAAAACACCTGTGTGCGTACACATTTAAACCAGTATTGAACACTTGTGATTACAAATTAGCTAGGGCACTGTTTTACTGCAGGGCTGAATAAAAAGATAGTCATTCTTCCATTAATAAGCATTCATGTAAATGAATTACTTAGGGAATGTCTATTTTTACTCCCCAGAGGGGAATAAGTTTAAATGTGTCTGTTATAGCTTTTGTCAATTTGACACAAGCCCAGACGTATCTGGGAAGAGGGAATCTCAATTGAGGAATTACCTCCATCAGATTTGACCTGTGGGCATTTTCTTAATTGCGTATTATATAAAAGGGCCCACTCAATGTGGGCAGTGCCATCCCTAGGCAGGTGGGACTGGGCTGTTTAAGAAAGGTAGATGAGCAAGCCAGGGGAAGCAAGTCAGTAAACAGTGTTCCTCTGTAGTCTCTGCTTCAGTTCCTGTCTCCAGGTTCCTGCCCTGGTTTCCCTCAATGATGGACTGTGAGTTGTAAGCCCAGATAAATCCTTTCCTCCCCAAGTTGGTTTTGGTCAGTATTTTATTACAACAAAAGGCAAACTAGACCTGTGTCTAAAGTTCAAATTTTCCCTTTTAAAACTCAAAACACCTTATAAACATTGTTTATAAATTCCAGTAACTGGGCTGGAGAGATGGCTCCACAATTAAGAACATTTACTGCTCTTTGTAGAGGACCTGGGTTCAGTTCCTAGCACCCACATGGCAACTCACAACTGTCTCTAGTTCTAGAGAGCCAAAACCCTCTTCTGGCCTTCAAAGGCACCAGGTACACATGTGGTGCACATAAGTGCATGCAGACATTCACCTATATAAAATATTTCATTAACAGTTAAAATGAGATCAAAAGTGATGAAATTAGCTATATTTGTAGATTCCCACAATCAGAAATAAAAAATTTAAAAAAACATCAGAGTGTGGGGCTGGAGAGATGGCTCAGCAGTTAAGAGAGCACTGGCTACTCTTGCAGAAGACCCAGGCTCGAATCCCAGCACCCACATGGAGACTAACAACCATTCATAACTCCAGTTGCAAGGGATCTGATGGCCTCTTCTGTCCTCCTCAGGCATTGCACGACCCAAGTACATACAGGACCCAGGAAACAGGCAGGAAGGTCTCAAACACAAAAAAAAAAAAAAAAAAAAAATCAAAAACAAACACAAATTTCCATGAGACTTTGGAAAACGAAAAGTGAAAAAACCCCAAACCTAGAAAGCAAACATGCATTTCAGAATTAAAGAAAACCAACACACACGGTCCACATGGGATGGCTCAGTGGGTAAAGGTGTCTGCTGTCAAGCTGGAGTTCAGTTCCCAGGACCCACATGGCAGAAGGAGAGAACCAACTCACACAAGTTGTTCTCTGACCTCTACACGCATAATGTGGTGCTCACATGCTCGCACAGGCACACACACACACAACTTGAGGCAGGTGTGATAATGCCCACCTATAATTCCAGCTCTGTCTTAAAAAATTGAAACAGTGACAGCAGTAATAACAAAAATCCCATACTGTCTGGGGTAATGGATTCGAGACAATTTTATTTGAAGGACCAATGACTCTAACTTATAGGTAGCTTTTAATTCTGCTGCCTTAACAAACACCCGCTGTTCACTACTGAGTAGGACCACATTCATGTGATCAGCCTTTCTTGGCAACAACTGGGAGAAATTTAGTGTTCAATCATTGATGATTTTTACATCACATGGGGGTTGCACAAAGCATGTGTAACCTACTTGCAAAGAAATACCACTTATCTGGACTCACTGAACACTGCCCTATGTGTCCCTCCACCCCCACTCTCTCTGGCTTTAGAAAAGAAAATCTGGCAGGGACAAATGGCTGCGTGTTGTTGGATGGGAGGGGAGAGAACACAATGACTCTTACAGCCGCTTAAGTAAGGGATTGTGTGAGCACTGAAAAGGGAAACAGCAACAAGAGCTGCAGGAGCTAATGCGAGCGCGCGCGGGCGCGCGCGCCCGCGCGCACACACACACACACACACACACTCACACACACACACACACACACACACACACACAAAACCCCCCCTCCCCAAGCGGCAGCCACATCAACAGATGCTTACGTGCTCTGAAAAGAATCTCTTCGAGAACGAGGCTACAATCTTCCGAGCTTCTAATCCAGCTTTCTGCCGAACTTTATATTCCTCCAACCAATTGACATAGTCGGTGGGGCTGTAGTGCTTCATGAGGGATGGCCACCTTACAAGGAGAGAAAACACCCCATCAGCCTAACGGGGGCTCAAAAGGCAGCTTTGCGAAGCCAACGACAGCACTGGGGTCCGCTGAAAAGAGGGGGCGCTGGCCCCGGCCCTGATTCCCTTCTCCACCCGCCAGGCACTCACTCCGACACTCAGATGCAGTGACCTTGGCGACAGGAGGCTGCGTCTCCATTCTCCCCATCTCTAGAATGAGGCCAGCGGTGGCCACCATCGCAGCGACGATGCTAACGGTTGGCACTGATGGCGCGCCTCCTCAGCACCAGGCCTCGCTCGGGCTTCCCGTGCCGCATCTCATCCGATGCCCACGCTGCCAGGCAGATCTGCCCACGGCATGGATGACCCAGACCCTCGAGAGGGAAGGTGGATCCCCCCCCACACACACACAAGGTCACGAGCTGGGAGGGCAGATCCTCCACCCGGGTCCGCGCCAGCCGGGGATGCACGCCTGGCTGCCTGCGTGTAAACAGCCCGCACCGATCCGGCCACAAAAGCAGGGCGCGCGGAGACCCGGAGGCCGTAGCCCAAGCGCGGGGAGGGGGAGCCCGCCGCAGGCGTCTGCCGCGACCCCATTGGGCTCCGAGGCTCCGGGCCCTAGGCCTTTGTCTGCGGCCGCGGGAAGGGCCGGGGTGGGGTTAGTGCGCGGGCCGGGGCTGGCGGGGTCGGGCCGGGAGGCCGCGCTGGCGTCGCCGCCCGGGGTCCGCTCACCTCACCCGGAATTGCTCCTTCCACACCTGGCCGCTGCTCTGGCACACCTCGCGCAGCCGCCTGCAGGTGCTGGACACGCGGCCGATGTCGAGCGCCGTGAGCGAGCCGCTGCACAGGATGTACTCCAGCACCTCGCCGGGCAGCTGCACCAGGCAGCTGGGCCCCACCGCCTCGGCCGCGGCCTCTTCCGCCAGCGCCGGCACCACCTCCATCGCGCTGTCCGCCGCTGCTGCCGCCATCTTGTCCGCGTACCCGAGGGGGCCGCCGTGCGCGCGCGCGCTAGGGAGCCCGCTAATCCCCGCCCAACGGCCCGGGGCGTGGCTCTGGGAGCCCCGCCTACAGCCGACCACGCCCAGTCGGCTTGGAGCAGAACTGGTGCAGGCTCCAAGAAGCCTGGGAGGCAGCCTGCAGGGAAGTGTGACCCTAGTCCAGCCCAGAGCAGCATAGCATCATTTAAAAAAATTAAAGCCGTCGGCAGGTGAGGTAGCTCAGCGGGGAAGGGGTGTTACTGCTAAGGTGACCGCCTGATTCGATTTCCCAAACCTAAATTGATGGAGGGAGAGAATTGATTCCCAAAAGTTCTCTTCTGACCTCTAGACTCAACACACACACATACATACATACATACATACACACATACATACATACATACATACATACATACATACATACATACTAAATGAAATGCAAAAAATAATTAGGGGCTGGAGAGATGGCTCAACGGTGAAGAGAACTGACTGCTTTTGCAGAGGACCTGGGTTCAATTCCCAGAACCCACATGGTAGCTAACAACTGGCCATAACTTCAGTTCTAGGGGATTCGATGCTCTCTTCTGTCCTCCATGAGCATTGTACAACACAGTTGCACTTACATACATGCAGGTAATACACTCATACACATAAAATAAAAATAATAAATAAAAAATATATTTTAAAAACAACAACAAAAACTAAAACAACCGAGCTTAGTTCATTTGTCAGGAAGAATAACAAAGTGTGCCTCCTGGAGCTGGTGAAGGGATTAAGTGTGCTGTGCAGAGCCATACCCATAGAGTGGTGTGGCTACTCGTGCCTGCATTTGAGGTGGAATGGAGGAACTCACTGCAGACCCATGGAAGAGAAGCCTGTGCCTGTAATGATGCTCATGGATGGGAGAGTTGGCTTCAATGTGGACTCTCAAGGCCTGGCCTCCAAAGACTACATGTCTCTCTATCTTCAGCAGTTGCCCAGTCCCCTCCATGGTCCCTGACTGCTCTTCCATCTTCAGCTCTGACCCTTAAGCAGTTGCAGTCAGCAAGCCCCCCCCCCCATGCAGCTGGCTGATTAAGCCTCCTAGGACCCACGCCCCCTTTCTCACCCAGGACATCTGGCTCTCCTTCTTCCTGCCTCGTGATCAAAGAAGATCAAAGATGACCATTGGAGAGAAAACAAAAACCAAAAACTGCCAACCCAAGAAGCCCTCTCTGCAGTGTAGAAAAGCAGTTTTGTTATGGAATAAGCATGAGATGCCCATCACAGAGAATGTGTTAGTGAGATAACAGAAGTGGAGAGGGACCCCACTCTGTATATAACAGACATACATGACCCCACATTGTATGCAGCAAGAGTAACCCCACTCTATACAGCAGGCCACCCACTCTATACAGCAGGCCACCCACTCTATATACAGCAGGCCACCCACTCTATATACAGTAGGCCACCCCACTCTATGTACAGCAGGCCACCCCACTCTATGTACAGCAGGCCACCCCACTCTATATACAGGAGGCCACTCCCTCTATACAACAGGTCACCTCACTCTATACAGCAGACCACCCCACTCTAACCAGCAGACCACCCTACTCTATTCAGCAGACCACCCCACTCTATACAGGAGGTCACCCTATTCTATACAGTAGGCCACCCACTCTATACAGAAGGTCACCCCCACTCTATACAGCAGGCCACCCCACTATGTACATAGCAGTGCTGTATCATTTTCCTCCCAAGGCTCTTGGGAACTTGTCCTTGGGTAGAGGGCATGGCCTCCTTGCTTGAAACATTCTTTCCTACCCCATCCTAAACTGGCATGGTAATCACTGTACCTTCCCTTCCCTGCTGGCCAACTACCCACAGCCTCAAGGAATAATGAAACTTCTCAAATCTTTATGCGAAGGTGGTTACAGTTAGGAACAAATAACTCCGCTAAACTCCCACAGTGACCTGGAGGTAGGGACACTGTCTTCCTTGATATTTATATTTCAAAGAGATGTTTCCCAGGCCCTTCAGAAAAACATTCCTGGCTAATGATGCAGGTCAGAAGCTTATTTAGCCTTGGAGAAGACTGACAAAATGCAGTGCACTCTTCCAATGGTGCATTGCAGGCCACAGGGACTAAAATGCCGAGGCTGCTGCAACAAGGGTGAACCTGGAGGACCCTTGGGAAAAGCCCAGGGAAAAGCCAGGCACAAGAGGGAGAATTCCACATGATCCCACTTTTAGAAAAGACAAATTCATGGGACAGAATGTAGGCTAAGGGATATTAAGGGATGATGGGGAGGAGGAGAGCAGGGACTATTTAGAATGGGTGCAGACTCTGTGGTGATGAAAAAGTTCTAGAAACAGCACTGCTGGTACCACAACCTAAGTGGATCTTTAAAAAAATGTTTTACTTATTATGTGTATGAGTATATTGCCTACATGTATGTAAGTGCACTCATGTTGTACAATGCCTGTGGAGGTCAGAAGGGGGCATTGGATTCCAGGAACTGGAGTTAGGGATGGTTGTTAGCTGCCACGTGGGTGCTAGGAATCAAACTTGGGTCGTCTACAAGAGCAGCCAGTGTTCTTAACAGTGAGCCATTTTTCCAGCTACCTAAGGGGATCTTTTTAATGTCACGGTTTAGGGCAGGACATTTTCTATTCTGCTTATTTCACTCCCAGCACTCGGGAGGCAGAGGCAGGCAGATCTCTTTGAGTTCAAGGCCAGCCTGGTCTACATAGTGAGTTCCAGGCCAGCTGGGGCTACAGGGAGACCCTGCCTAAAAAAACCAAAAAAAAAAAAAAAAATCATACACACATGCTTTACCTATCAAAGGGGATACAGAATATATTTACAAACATATTTCACAAGGAAATGCTTTAAGAAAAGATGTTGTGGTAGGGGCCCCGGGTTCCATCCCTAATACTGAAAATCAATAAT